AGTTAGGGCAGCGGATGAGTTAGGGCACCGGCTGAGTTAGGACACCAGATGCGTTAGGGCACCAGTTGAGGCAGTGAACGGATGATTTTGGCACCGGATGAATTCGGGCACCGGATGCGTTTGTCACTGGATGAGTTTGGCACCGGATGAGCCTCGCACCAAATGAGTGATGCACGGGATGAGTTAGGGCATCGGATGAGTTAGGCTCCAGATAAGGTAGGCCTGAGTGATTCAGTTAGGCACCGGATGAGTTAGTTGCCAGAAGGGTTTGACCGGATGAATTAGCCACTGGACGAATTAGCTTGGATGAGAGCATTGGATGAATTAGACCGGATGAATTCGACAGCGGATGAGTTATAAGCGCGGATGAATTAGGCATCAGATGAGTTTGACCAGAGTTTGACCGGATGAGTTAGGGACCGGATGATTCAGCTTGGTTTCGAAAGTTGTCTCACCTCGCCGTGGCAGGTACCCCTGGTTCTCGGACGTTTGTTGGTTGAGAAATCCAGTGGTGATCGAGATATTGGAATGGAAAGAGCGTGTTCTACCGCTGCTGGCGCGGAAAACCGCGGGGGGGTCGCTGGGGGTTCCTAACCCGTCCCCCCCCCTCGAAAACCGGGGGGGGGTCACTACTGGTTCGAACCCCCCCCTCCCCCCAGTCCATCATGAAGAGGAGGGGGGGGTCACTACCGGTTCGAACCCACCTGCCCCCCCCCCCTCGAAAACCAGGGGGAGTCATTACAGGTTCGAGCCCCGCCACCCCACCCCTTCGAAAACACGGGGGGGGTTTATACCGGTTCGACCCCCCCCTTCGCCGCCGGCAAACGATGCCCGCTCCTCGGGACAGTTGGAGAATGGTGGGGATGTTGGGACAGAGGTGGGAACGGTGGTGGTGGGGACAGTGGTTCGGGGAAAGTGGGACAGTGGTGCGGACAGTGGTGGGGACGCTGGTGGTGGGGACAGTGGTGAGGGGACAGCGGGACAGTGGTGGGGACGGTAGTAGTGGTGGGGACAGTGGTGAAGCCGGTGGTGAGGATAGTGGTGGGACAGTAGTACGGTGGGGAAAGTGGTGGGGACAGTGGGACAGTGGTGGGGACAGTGGGGACGGTGGGACAGCACAGTGGGACAGCGGCGGGGACAGTGGGACAGTGGTGGGAACAGTGGGGACAGTGGGACAGTGGTAGGGACCGTGGGGGAAGTGGGGGGAGTGGGACCGTGGTGGGACAATGGTGGGGAGAGTGGGGACAGTGAGACACTGGTGGGAGCACTGGTGGGGACATCGGGGACAATGGTGGGAACAGTGGGGACAGTGGGACATTGGTGGGGACGGTGGTCGTGGGGACAGTGGTGTGGGGACAGTGGGAATGTGGTAGACAGAGTGGGACAGTGGAGGGTACAGTGGTGGTGGCGACAGTGGTGAGGGCGGTGGCGAGGACGGCGGTGGGATAATGGGACAGAGGTGCAGTAGGGACAGTGGTGGGGACAGTGGGGACAGTGGTGGGAACAGTGGGACAACTCAGTGGGATAGCGGCGGGGATAGTGGGACACGGGTGACAGTGGGACAGTGGTGGGGGCCGTGGGGAAAGTGGGGAGAGTGGAACCGTGATGGGAACAGTGGTGGGGACAGTGGGGACAGTGCGACAGTGGTGGGGGCACTGGTGAGGACAGTGGTGACGGTGGTGGGAACAGTGGGGACAGTGGTGGTGAGGACAGTGGTGCTGGGGACAGCAGTGGGGGATGTGGTGCGGACGGTGGTAGGGACCCAGAGTTGTTTGCTGGCGGTGAGGGGGGGGGAGGGGTTCGAACCGGTAGTGACCCCCCCCAGTTTTCGAGGGGGGGGGGGTTCGAACCAGTAGTGACCCCTGTTTTCGAGAGGGGGGGGCTTCGAACGGGTAGTGACCCCCCCTGGTTTTCGTGGAGGGGGGGGAGTCGAACCGGTACGGGGGGGTTCGAACTGGTAGTGACCCCTCTCTGGTTTTCTTGGGGGGGTGGCGGGGAAGGGGTTCGAACCGGTAGTGACCCCCCCCCGGTTTTCCGGGGAGGGAGGGGGGGAAGGGGTTTGAACCAGTATAGTGACCCCCGCGGTTTTCCGGAAGGGGGGGGGGTGGGGGAGGCGGGGGTTTTGCCGGGGGGGATGGAGGGGGGGGGGGTCCAGCAGAGGGGGAGGGGATTTTCGGAGGGGAGGGGGGGGGGGACCCCCGGGTTCCGGAGGAAGAGGGGGGGGAAGTTTTCCACGGGGTCAGTGCTACTTCATCAGCCATTTTTCCCCACAGATCAGCCAGCATGCATCGCGGTGGTCTGGCACGTTGGCCACGCTTTGCGACCGACAATGGGGCAGCTGCGGACAACCAAGGCAGGCACCTGCGGCGCCGCGCTGCCGTCGGCCGCGCCCAGACAGCGCGCGCCGCGCCCGTGCCGTTCAGCAGCTACCAGACCAGAGAGCACCCGTCAACAGCTCTGCCTGATTTGCGCTGGCAACTAGGCGCGCTGCCGCAAACAGCTGGACGAGCTGCGTCGGCGCGCGCGTGAAGCGAGGTTCGCGGGCACTTCCAAGCTACATGGACGCGCAGGCGACGCAGCGGCCAACTGCGCCCGCCAGCCTACTCACCAAAGAATGCCGAGGGCGAGCGGCCACGCCAGCAGCGTGCTGGAAGTAGAGCCAGGGAACGAAACTGGTTGGATGGCACGATCGGTGCTGCGGTTCGAGCGCACGCCTGGCACGATCAGTGCTGGGCCCCAAAAGCAGCACCCCGCTCCCGGTGGTCAGGCGACATCGACCGATTGCCACCACTTCGGGTAAGGAGCTTGTAGTTGGGCTCTATTCGGCCGGTGCGAGAACGAGGGTACGTCCGTTCCAGAGCGTTGTCTAAGGGCCCCCAGGGCGTTCCGGAACGCTCTGAGAGGGCCGCTGGGCCCAATGCATCTTCCAGAACCGCCGGATCTCAGATATTCTCGGTTCTCACAGTATTATCCTCCAGGCTTCGTCGTATCTCCTTGCTGAGGGGTGCCGTTGCGAGTCACGACCCTGGGTATGGTTAGCTTATTGCACGTGCGATTTCACCGCAGACGAGCGGACTGGGCTTCCCAGGGTTGACGACATCCCGTGCGGGCTGAGGCTCTTGGGCCACGGGTGACTTGTGCTGGTCGTCCACTGCTGCGGCTGCGCGGTGAAGGTTCTGGCGCCTCATTGCGGGTGACTCTCTTGTGGCCAAAGTGCTGCAGGGGACAGTCTCAGCTGCCTGGTGGCCCCGACTCGAATAGCAGCACGCGTGCACGCCCGCTGCCATTCTGGCTTGCAGCGTGCGTGCGGACCAGAATGTGTTTAAGAAAAATGACGCAGGCTCTGTTATCTCTCGCGCTACAATTGCCGCCTTGTCTTCTACTTTTTCCCATGCCTTTCGCAATTATAGTACCTCCCCTTCTTCCTCGATCGCGAGTCGTGCGGTTGCCTGTCCCCTTATCTGCTCGATCGCCTGATAAACTTGTCATCAGCGCGGTTGCGGGCACGTGAAAAGAAGAGTCGGTGGAGGAGGGGAGCGGGGGAGGGAACCATAGGGACAAATATTGGATGGTATAGTAGAAGGGGGAGGGGGATGAACAGGAGGGGTAGCGGGAAGAGGATTGTTCGGCTCTTCGGAAACATCATGAGGGCCAAGCGAGCTCGGAATTTCACGGGAAGGTGGACTCATCGAAGCAGTGCCTTGGGCACTGCAGAGCACCTGCGAACAACGGATGTTTGCGCATCATCGTCGATTGTTTATGCTCACGCCAGCTACCGAGAGGCGAGTGCGCTCCTTTTCAAGCTGTGTTGGCTGGACTTAGGACGTTAGCCTTATCCGCTCAGCCCCACCCGAGTTTTCGGCCGACGACGACGAGGGGGCGGCGGCCATGTGGGGCGCTCGGTGGCCTCGCGCCGTGGACATCGACAGCACTGGCTACGGCATTCGGACCGGCGATGCACGCTGCGGGCTTGCGCAGAGGCAGTGCCGAACTGCACACAGACAGCCAGGGCTGGCGCAGCAAGGACCCGATGATGCGTAAGGGTGCAAGGCGTATCAATTGTCCGTGTTGTTTTGCCAGGGCTGACCAGCAGAAGCGGCCCTGGACCAGCAACGCCACGACACGACATTCCAGCAACGCGAGCTACGGGGATTCACAACGGCCGCCAGCAGCGCCACGGGAACCAGCAGCGTTTCGACGCCACCAGCAGATTTTGTTGAAGAAACACTTGTACGACGACCAACTACGACGGCCATCGCCAGAGCTGCGGGAACCAGGGGAACTGCGAGAGCCACCACGACAGTTAACAGAAACCGCCGGAGCCACGGTCGCTACCAGCGGAGTCGCGACGGCCACCAGCTGACTGAGTAGAACTGGCAGAGCTGAGGGCCACCACCAGCATCAGCAATACCAGCAGACTGCGGGAACCACCTGAGATGCAACGGCGACAACCAGAGCTACAACGGCGGCCGCTAGCCGCTAGCAGATCTACGGGAAACAACATGACATTTAAGGGCACCATCGGTACAAAAAGGGGCCAGCTGGCATGACGGCGGGCGCACAGACTCGCCAGAACGCAATGCCATCAATCTGAACATCGAGAACACCGGCATCGACTCCCTGAGGGAGGATCTGTCAGGGCGGGCATGCGCCGTACACACTGTCATTATCTTCCCCGCCCAGCTCGCTGGCATCGGAGCTCTCCTGAGTTGAGCTCGAGCGCGCCTGGCTTTTTTTCCAGATTCGGCCCCTGCTGCCGAGTGGAGGCGGGAGCAACGGCCGCGCTTCGTGAGCATCCAGCACTGAGCACTTATCGTTGGGCGTGGAGGGAGAGGGGAAGGAGGAGCAGCAGTAGCAGCAGGAAGAGCAGGAGCATAAAAAAATTGACGATGATGATGATGAGGAGGAGGAGGAGGAGCATGAGGAGGAGGAACAATGATGCGAAGGTGGAGGGGGAAGGGCAGGTCGCGACTAGCGTCGCGATAACCCCGTTCGCCGAGGTGCCAACGTGGATGGCTGCGCTCACTTCTCCTACTGGCCAGACGGGGGATGTCACCTGCAGGATTTCGGGAGATGGTGGAGGAGGGGGGGGACGGGAAACTGAGGACAAGTGTGGAGGGAATGTGAGGGAGGTGGAAGAGGCGGCAGGATAATGATGAGGGATGAAGATGACGACGGCGACCATGAACATGGTGATGGCGATCTCTATGATGGTGATGGTGGTGGTGATGGTGGTGGTGATGTTGATGTTGCTGTTGATGATGATGACGATGCTGATGATGATGACGAGGTGATAAAGTTGATGATGATGATTATATGATGATGATGATGATGATGATGATGCTGATGATGATGATGCTGGTTATGCTGTTAATGATGATGACGATGATGATGATTATGATGATGCTGATGATGTTGCTGATGCTGCTGCTGATGATGATGACGATGATGATGATGATGATGATGATGATGATGATGATGATGATGATGATGATGATGATGATGATGATGATGATGATGATGATGATGATGATGAGGTCGTGAAATGCGAGGAGGATGAGTGGGAGTTTGAGGAGGACGAGGAGGAGGAGGGGGAGGAGGAGGAAGAGGAGGAGGAGGAGGAGCAGGAGGAGACGGATGAGGAGACGGAGGAGGAGGAGGAGGAGAAGGAGGAGGAGAAGGTGGCGGAGGAGCAGGAGGAGGAGGAGGATGAGGAGGAGGAGGGGGGGGGGGAGGGAAGGAGGAGGGACACGAGCAGTGGAGAGAATGGGGTTGAGGGATGAGCGAGGAGGAGGGAAAGGGGGAGGGGGTTCGAAGATCATGTGGTTTCCCGTGGAACCCAGAGGTCTTGAATGTAAGATGAGAAACAGATACAGCGAACGTGGAGTAGGGATGGGGAGAGGGCCGAGGGGGGGGTGAGGACGATGATGGGAGGAAGACAGGTGAAGAGGAAGCGGAGGGCGGATGAGGAGGAGGGGGAGGTCCAGCGATAGTGATGATGAAGTTGCTGCTGATGGTGATGATAGTGTTGATATAGTGGGTGATGGTGATGATTGTGCTCTTGAAGCTGACGATGATGGAGGTGGCGATGCTGATGTTGATGATTATGATGACGATGGTGGTGATGATGACGACGATGATGCTGATTATGACGATGCCGATGATGATGATGATGATGATGATGATGATGATGATGATGATGATGATGATGATGATGATGATGATGATGATGATGGTGATGATGATGATGATGATGATGATCATGGCAATGATGGTAGTGATGAGTGTGAGTATGATGGTAACGGTGTTGCTGTTGATGGTGGTGGTGATGAAGTTAATGTTAATAGTGATGGTCATGGTAATGATGACGGAAATGGCACTGATGTTTATTGTTGGTGATGACGAGGATGATTGTGATGACTACGCTTGTAATGATTGGGATGAGGATGAAGATGCTGCTCGTGAAGATGATGACGGCACCTCGGAGGCGGACTGGTAAGTGGAAGGGGATTGGACAGGGGAAGGGGAAGGGGAATCTGGTGGTGACGACGCTGATGATGATTACGATGAGGGTGGTCGTTGTGATGCTGATGCGATGCTGCTTACGAGATCGATGCTGCATCCTGATGAGGACGAGGATGAGGATGATGGTGAGGTGGATGATGAGGAGGAGTATGTGGATGGCAGGATGACTCTCAGGATGTCGATGGGGAGAGAGGATGGGAACGCGGGAAGTGGATGTTGATGACGATGCCGGTGATGCTAGTGATAGTGATGATGGTGCTGGTGATGGTGATGATGATGATGACTATGACATTGTCGACACCGGCGACGACGGCGCCGATAGTGATGATGATGACGATGCCGATGATGCTGATGATGATGAGGATAATGATGATGGTGACAATGTTGATGACGATGATGATACTGAGGATGCTGATGATGGTTATGATACTGCTGGTGCCAATGTTCATGATGCTGATGATGCTGCTGAGGATAACGATCACGATTCCGGTGTCGATGATGATGGCGATATTGATGATACCGATGCTGGTAATGATCCGAGTGACGATGATGGCGATGATGACGACTATGGTTTTGATGACGATGCTGATGCTGTTCATGACGATGATCATGATGATGATGATGATGATAGTGATGCTGATGAGGCTGATGATGAAGATGTTGACGATGTTTATGCTGATGCCGATGATGAGAAAGAGCGTGTTCTACCGCTGCTGGCGGAAAACCGGGGGGGGTCACTACCGGTTCGAACCCCTCCCTCCCCCCCACCCCCCCCCCCCCCCCCCCCTCTCCGGAAAACCGGGGGGGGTCACTACCGGTTCGAACCCCCCCCCCCCCCCCCCCCCCCCCAGCTCATCATGAAAAGGGGGGGGGGTCACTACCGGTTCGAACACCCCCCCCCCCCCCCCCCCCCCCTCGAAAACCGAGTGGGGGTGCGGACAGTGGTGGGGACGGTGTTGGTGGGGACAGTGGTGAGGGGACAGCGGGACAGTGGTGGGGACAGTGGGACAGTGGGACAGTGGTGGGGACGGTAGTGGTGGGGACAGTGGTGGGGACAATGGTGGGAACAGGGGGGACAGTGGACAGTGGTGGGAACGGTGGTGGTGGGGACAGTGGTGTGGGGACAATGGGAATGAGGTGGAAACAGTGGGACAGTGGAGGGTACAATGGTGGTGGAGACACTGGTAAAGGCGGTGGCGAGGACGGCGGTGGGACAATGGGACAGAGGTACAGTGGGGACAGTGGTGGTGGGGACAGTGGTGGAAACAGTGGGACAGCTCAGTGGGACAGCGGAGGAGTCAGTGGGACAGTGGGGACAGTGGGGATATGGGGGCAGTGGTTGGGTCCGTGGAGACAGTGGGGAGAGTGGAACCGTGGTGGGAACAGTTCTGGGGACAGCGGGGACAGTGCGACAGTGGTGGGGGCACTGGTGGGGACAGTAGGGGCGGTGGTGGAACCAGTGGGGACAGTGGTGGTGAGGACAGTGGTGCTGGGAACACCAGTGGGGGATGTGATGCGGACGGTGGTGGGGACCGGGAGTCGTTTGCTGGCGGTGAGTAGGGGGGGGGGGGGGGGGGGGGGTTCGACCGGTACCAGGTTTTCCGGATCCGGAGGGGGGGGGGGGGGGGGGGGGGGGGGGAGGGGTTCGAAACGGTAGTGACCCCCCGGGTTTCGAGGGGGGGGGGGGGGGGGGGGGGGGAGGGGTTAGGGGAGGGGGGGTTTTGCCGGGAGGGAGGGGGGGGGGGGGGGGGGGGGGGAGGGGTTCCGGCAGGGGGGGGGGGGGGGGATTTCGGGGGATTTCGGGAGGGGGGGGGGGGGGGACACCCGGGTTCCGGAGGAAAAGGTTGGCAATTTTCCACAGTATAGCGGCGGTGGATCACGCTCTCTCGATGATGAAGATGACGATGATGTTGGTGATGATGTTGGTGATGATGTTGGTGATGATGGTGATGGCGATGGTGGTGCTGATGACGATGATGCTGACGATTCCGATTCTGATTCTGATGATGATGAGGGTGATGCTGATGATGGTGATGATGATGGTGTGTTGTGATGATGAGGATGTGAAACGTCTCGGTGATGAAGACGATGTTGATGCTGCTGGTTGAGATGATGATGATGCTGACGATGATGATCATGCTGATGATGCTGGTGATGGTGGTGGGTGTGGTGATGCTGATTTTGGTGATGACGCATGATTACTATGGTGATGATGATGACGATGAGCTCGGTGATGATGATCCTGACGATGCTGATGCTGATGCAGATGCTGATGCAGATGATGAGGACCATTATGATGATGACGATTGTGACGATGATGATGATGACGACGATGCTGATGCTGATGGTGGCGATGATGATGGCAATGATGATGATAACGATGATGCTGCTGCTGCAGACGATGACGCTGATTATGATGATGATGCTGGTGATGGCGGTTGTGATGGTGTTGATGTTGTTGATGATGATGATGTTGATGATGATGATGATGAGGATGATGATGATGATGATGATAATGATGAAGATGATGAAGATGATGATGATGATGATGATGATGATGATGATGATGATGATGATGATGATGATGATGATGATGATGATTATGATGTCGACGATGATGATGGTTCTGATGATTATGATGATGATGCTGATGCTGATGCTGATGTTGCTACTGCTACTGCTGCAGGGGAGTGGGAGGAGGAGGAGACGGAGGAGGAGGAGGATAAGGAGGAGAAGGAAGAGGAGGAGGAGGAACGGCCATGTTTGCTCGCTCAGGCCATTTTGAATCAAGTACGCTATCACGTACTTAGCATTATCCTTGCCACTCTTTCTTTCCTACCAATGGCTTCTTCCCAAATGCTGCGGCATAAGTTCTCATACGGATAC